GAAATGGTCTAACACATTGTCGGTTTTGATCTTTTCATGGAACTTGTTAACAGTAAAACAGAATACCATCAGCCTTACCTTTTAGTAAAAAGTGTTCAAACCACTAATGAGAATAGAGTTTATCTTTAGAGGACTAAGAATACCTCTCTTCTTCTAAAACATGGCAAGTGAACTCTCAAATAACTTTCGGACTCTCAGTGTTTTCGAAAGCCCCAATCTTCTCTGACTTCTTAAAGGAATGCTTCCTCTCTGGGCAGACATGCTAAATCAATTATGGGGGTGACTAATTAAGCCACATGTCAATAACTCATCCCAATTAAGGCACAGAGCAGAAATCAGGCATACACTGAGTCCAGGCCGCTCTGCTGCCTATCGATTCCGTGCTAATGCCAGGCATTTGTCCAAGGCTGCTTGTGTACTTCCACAGTGTCTCTCAGTCCGTCAACAAACGCTGTAATCAAGTCTGCAGATAAAGCGAGTAACAAGCCAAAACCGTCAGAACCCATTTCTGATTTCTGAGTGTTACACGAAAATTGATCATTTCAACGCAACTACTAGATCACATTGAGAGGGATGGGGACAATTTTCACACTATTGCTTTATGAATTGTGGTTTGCTGTGCTTCTTTTGTCAAACAATAGCACGCTCAGTTGGTCTAGTCTGCCTTTTTTTTTTTTTTTTTACAGTTCTCAAAGCCAAATGGACTGAAAGTCATGATGATTTTTAAAATAAATATATGGGATGCTCTCAGTTTATCTTTGTTACCTACATAATTTAACTCAGAGATCAGACCAATCCATGAGAGTTTAAAAAAAACATATTGTGTTTATCAAAGAGAATATACTATACTTTCACCATTGAGAAGTTTACAGTATATATTGTAAACTACTATCACTAGTCACACAATGTCACGAAAACGTGCTAGTGACTCAATATCAGCGCTGTAGATTTTTAAAAGGCTAGTACCAATATTGAGATTATGTGCTTATAACTTTCAGACTTTTTTGACAATTTTCAGGCCAAGAAAAATTAAGAAATATTTAATAGGGAAACTCTGGGACAGACAAGGGTTTTTAAATGATAAACATAAAAAAAAAAAAAAAAAGTAAATACTGTGGATATAAATGACCATCAGGGGGCATAAAATAAGTTGACAGACAGGTTTTGGCTAATATGTAAGCAAACAGATGCCTACTTTTACACCCTGCAGGCATCGGATAACATTGGCATTCATTCGGAATCATGTTTGTAGTCACCTGACAAATGGAATTTCATTACTTACTGACCTTTACGCTCATTCTGGTCTCTACTAATTCTTGAGAAAAATATCTGGCTCTTTAGCTGCTAAATTCCTGAGTGTTCACCAGCTAGTTAGCCACTAATGTTTTGTCTCTGGTTTGGTGCTGGTGGGTAGCCTTTGATTGGTTCATCAGAGCTTGCTTGTTGGAAATAGGTGGGGATTGATGAAAGTAGTGACACTTAACAATAAAGAAAAAATCACATCAATGTGCTAAAAAGGCAAAAAAGTTCTGTAGAGCTTTAGAGGTTGTTTGTTATCCTAAATTAAATCTCTTTTTTCAGCATTATCTCATAATTTACACAACCTACTGTGATTGTATCCACTGTTAAGATCAAAAATACTGATCAATTCAGGTTGACAATACAAACCATCAAATAAGACTGAACTGTTGTACTGCTCCAGCAAATTGATATCTAAGACCATCCCTTGTGTTTTTGTTCTTAGTGTCAATAGTGCATGTTGTCCCTGGAGTGCTATGTCAGGTTGACATTATTTTACTAATCCAAATCTTCTCCTCAGCCTGTTTGACATATTTTGCTCCTTTGTCACCGCAACATACTTTTTATAGTTTTGCCTCCAGCAGTATGACGTACACAAGTACTTGACAGCACAAGTGCGGTGGCTCAATTATAGGAATAACATGCTGGGGATTTTTTTTTTCCCCCCTCCACACTCAAACTGGAGTGGAGAGAGCAGATTTTGACGGATTAGCCTCATTATACTCTTCACATAGACTTCTATTAAAAACCTCCAGACAGGCACTCACATTATCATCTATGATGGAGACATCTTTAGGAACAAAAAGATGGTGTATTTCCTTCTTTCTGTTACATAGAGTGTGTCTGATCGTGATGATATTTTTAACCTAGAACAACAAGCGGTTGCCTCTGTGATTGTTATTCCTCTACTTAGCACCATAGAATATTTTTCCATTGTTACTTATGCTATTCCAAGATTTATTTGCATTAATCAGGATTTTAAAAAAGATTGCATGATGCACATTACACATGGGGCACTGCAGGCACACAACACAAAGCACACCCTAACACTGAAATAAACACCATGAAATGGGCTGGGAAAATATGCATAAGTCAAATGTGTTCTTGCACACAGAGAATAAAATGTAAAAAAAAAAAATTGAAGTATTGTAATGAAAGCCTGCCCAACCATTTATGTCTTAGCTAACCCCTCATCATTTTGAACAAAGGCGGGGAAAATTGACCATTCTGCCAGTACTTATAGGACAGCCATCATTCATACATTAGATAACCTTTTACTTTCTGCATTTCTATTGCTCGAGTGGGTAAAGCGCTATGGCCACACTTTTTTTTTATCAGAAATGTTTCTGCTCAATTGGAAACATTGGAAGTCAAATTCAACATAAGCTTCTAATCTTCTAAATTTCATTTTCTTGGAGCAATGTGTTAGTGCCAGCCATCGTGTTGTGGATACAATGAGTGGGGAAAGTGATTTTTAACTAAAGAAAGTACCCTGCGTTGGTCTGATAAATGAGCTCATCCCTAATCCTAATTGTGTCAAAGGCAGGATTTACCACTTCATTTTCTAAACAAGCACGGGGGCATCACACCGTGGTGTGGTTTGCAATCAATCTCATGTGAATATCGCCAGTGTTGGTTAATTTTGCAGTGTGTACAAAAGCATGGGGGCATGCACCTCTTTCTTCAGGAAATAATTGGCTGTAGCTGTCAGTAAATACATGGTTTAAATCATAACCCCCCTTATCAGCTGCTCGCCAGTCCTGCGCTGTGTGAGAGGGAGGGGGGAGCACGCAAAGCAAAAGTCCTCTCTCACATTCAGAATTTTCACATTTCATATTAAACCAAGCCAGTTTAGAGAACGAATCTTGGCATTATTAAGCCCATTTTCCAGAGTGTGCCTTTTCCATCCTCAACCTCCTTAAACTGAAAATTTTACTTGCAATTCAAATGGCCTTGTGCTTTCAGCTCCCAGTGATTGAGAGCAGATTTCTCAGGTAGCTAGAGTAATCCCTGGTGGAGATTTTTCTATCCAGCCAGCCATCCATTTATTGTGTTTATTTTATAATCCTGTATTACAGGCAAAGGCAAGACTGACTCATTTTGTTTTAAGACATCTAATCATTTTCTTAACAATGAGTTTTTAAAATAGAATAGATTTTAAAAACAGGAAAATCATATGGTATTATGGAATTATTGGTCTTTACGATGGAGACAGCATCATCTGTTTTGTCAGTTTTTTTTTTCTTAACTACAGTAAATAGACATAATAATAGTGTACAATCACATATCAATCCAACTGTGATGATAAGGTTTAAAACTCATATGTTCCTTTAGTTTTCACTATGAGAAAGTAGACATGTTAACTGTATTGTACCAATGTGTTCAAAACACACAACATTAGTGTCCATTTGGATGTAAATAATACAAACAGTATATCCTAGAATTGACAAATTAAACCTTTGTTATTGAAAATGGAGCAGAGAACAATGTTGTGGAGATGCTGTGTTTTTATATCAGTAGACTATAAGAAAAATGACTTTAGGGATTATCGTTTCTCTTTGCAGTGGGAGATAATAGCAGTTGAAGGTCCATTTAGTAGCTGCTCTGGAGCCTTTGGTCATATCACGTGGTCTGCAGATGGAGATTGGCCAGTTCATGTTCACTTTAAGTACTTCTCATCCATATTGGCTTGAAATTTGAGGTTCAAAGTCCATTCTTGACCTTGGAAACATGAGGAAAATTTGGGCTGCCTTTCAAAATCATATGATGAAATGTGGGAATTTACATATGAGATACTGTATATATATAAATCTTATCTTCTAAACTGCATATTCACATGTGCCTTAACTGTATCCTTGAAATGACTTCTGGGTAAGATGTGGCATTTGGAGTTTATTCATTGAGAGTAAACTGAGCTGCTTTACTTTCTCAAGACATTCCAAATGCTGTATATGGGCGAATAAGGGTAACACATTTGGCAAAAATGCATAGAATCACAAAAAATGATTTACTACAAAATAAAACTGGAAAATGAATGGCAAACCCTTTCGACTCCTGAAGGACCTGTGGGTGCGCACTGAGTTTGTACACTGCAAAAAATATGCATCCAGTAAGTCATTTAGTCAAAGTATCGAGCGTGAAGATGTCCTTCTTCTTCAGAAGTGAAGGTATCACCCAGCAGGGTGAGACAACATAGATTTGTTTCATTATTATAATTAATCTTTACTTTTTTAGGGGATTTTTGTTATTCGTTCATATGCCATTTGCTTTATTACAGCCTTGTTGCAGGGACACTTGTTTCTTGACATGTCTTTAAATAGGCGAAATTTTCATGCAAGCAACAATCAAGTGAAATCATCTCGGCGCCTTATGGGAAATTGATTTTCAAATTGACACCGAGACTCAACAGCTTTTCAAGACGCGGGCGTATTTTTTGCAGCGCGGCTCATGCTGAAGTCATTCTCCGTCTCATACAACAGCAGCCAAGGACAAGAGAGCATCAGCAGAGAGAGGTAAAAGAGGAGAGAGAAAGGTGCCTCCTCTCGCCATTGCTATAATTGTCTCGCTGTTGAATCGATGTCGGTGTAAAAGCCGCTCTAACGGGAGGCGACAGGAGGAGAAGCGTGGGATTTAACTTCACACACGGACAAACCTATGCTTGGATTTCGGCTCTTTTTCCCTTCGCCAATGCAAAAGGAAATATGCAGCGAAGCTTCACCATCCTCTACACCAGTTTACTGGGGATGTGCTTGGGTTCAAGCTCAAGTTTTCCAAGTAACATCAATATAGGTGAGAATGACGCACACGCAGAATTAAAACCTCTATTTCAAGTTTACCTCGTGTGTTTCTTTTTTTATGTGTGTGTACGTGTTAGTGTGTGTTTTCATGATATGCCCTCGGCTCCACTGTTGTCCAGTATTAACTCCTGATTCTTTGCTGCTCAACAGGAGGATTGTTCCCAACCGAATCGCACGAATATGAGGTTTTTCGATTCGCCCTGTCGCACCACCAGGACATCCCTAAACTGGTGCCGCAGGTGGATATGGTCAAGATGGGGAATAGCTTCTCCATGACATATGCCTGTAAGTATTATCTCACTGGAAACATATTAGAGTCGCTGCTATTTGGCTGTTTTCTGGCTGTTCAGCCGGTTTTCCTTCCTCTCAGTCTGTTGATCGACTTGTTCAAAAGCGCATGGAACTCCGGGAGTAGCATAAAACCTGCACAGGCTATAATCGCATATATCACAGACCTACTGCAAAGACTCGCATGTGTTAGTATCTTATTAACTGTTGCGTGGGACCGCGATGGACTTCTTTTCTCTGCCTCCCTCTGCATGATTGCAGCGTGATTGTGCGCTCCAGGCAATCCACGGTGATTTAAAACCAACCTCTGCAGCAGCAGCAGCAGCAGCAGCAGCAAATCCTATAGTCATATAGCATCAGCTTTTTACAGCTATATGAATTGTAAAACGGCTGTCACTGATCCTAGTGCGTCTTTCCTTCTTTAAATCGAGGTATAAAACAAAAGAAGCAGAGCGCAGATCACAGCTCTCAGGCGATGTGAACAAAGAGGGAAAACGACTCTAAATGCATTTCTAATTAGCCACGGATCACAATCCGATTATCTTATTCTGGCAGAACACGTACTATTAAACCCTCCCACCTTAAAATCTCTACAAAAACCTCGCGCACATACATGCATGCACGCACGCACAATATATATTTCAACTTTCAGGACTTCATGATTACCGGCCCTATCTCTGTAGATGTGGAGTTATTGGACATGTTTCAAATGATCTATAATTAATTCATGTGAGGAATAATTCTAACAGAGGAGGATGGCATGGTGGCAGTGGGATGCAAGATTTATGGTCAATAAGGAAGTTTGAAAAATCATTATTCTGAGTCCCTGGTCAGAGCAGCAGGGACGCCATTCTCCTGTGGGTGATAATGTGTGCCATTATGCCAGCCAAACAAGAACTCCATGTCTGAGCTTTACAAAGGAAATGCCAGTCTAAATTGTTTCTTCTTTGTTAACCCTGCACTTATCCCTCCTTTGTATTCTGACAAGATTTTGTCGCCCTTGAGGCTCTTCAGCCGTGTTTTTCCCATTCCATCCTCGACTCCTCTGTGTTTGCCTGTGGTTCACTCACACTCACTAGTGAAGTCGTAGACTTCCAGGAGATGCCCTCTGACAACCGTGCCTTCCTGTCTCTCTGGAAGGTGCGTTACATTGCCTCAGCAATCGCGATTCGATTACTACTAGTCATCAATTGTTGCATTTCCACTTTGAAACCTGTCTGGAACTCAACCCTGGTCTTTGATCCATCTCTGCTGGCTTGCATGCAGTCACAGATTTCAATCGTAGCTCACAGAATAAACAAAGAGGTGGAAAAAGCACAATGCAGTTTTATAAGGACGGAAAATAGGAGCATAATGACATTCTGACTCAGAGGCTTAATGTAATGCAGTTGTAGCAATCCTTATGAGATTCAGTTATGGGCTTTGAATTGAATTGGAAATAAAGCATTATGTGCAACAGCACTAATGTAGATTTATAGACATACAGCGTTGGTTGCCATCGAATGTTGAACGCTACACTAAAAGGAAATTTACACTCTTCTGTCAGAGTATAGTGTAGATAACCCTGCATTTTTTTGTATTATTTAGCATCACCTTCCTATACCTGTCCATAAAACCCAGACTTTGTGAAGTTCATCCTGTTCACAGTGGGCATGACTTATTGTGCGGAAATGACTTTAAGAATATGATAAGAGCTGTGGAAAATATTTAGAAACCTGGACAGTCCTCAGCCACCCCCCCACCCCCCCTTTAAGCTATTTAGGCCAGGGACTCAGACCGAGCTGTGTAATGAAATGTAAACACACCCAAGATGCCCTCATTAATGAGATGGTCCTCTGCTCAGAAGGGAATGTGATGTGAATATGAGGGTCAGGCTGCTGCTGAACGTCTCAGGGGATGTCGCTAGTGGACCAAATGTGAACCTATAGCAGTAGGAGGGGGGTGGGGGGGGGGGGGGCATTAATGTCTTAGTCACAGCGTGCACCCAGTGGAGAGACAGCAGCATATACAGTAGGGTGTTAAAGAACAATATGGCGATTTGGACTCAAATGTCTAACATGCAGCATGGCGCACCTTCTGTTAACTGTTTTCTCCTGTTTTTTTGTTTTTTTATTGATTCGATTGATATTATCAGCTCCAAACTCCATTGATATATTAAGTGAAAATGTGAAAAAGAACATCTTTTACAAAAGAGATTCTTTAAATATCCACAAACATTGACTATCCCAATCTGAAAGTGCTCAGGTAAACACTTGAAACTGATTATTTGGTCAAGTATCACTGCCATTATTCAGGATTTACTAGATCCAGTCTCTGTCATCACTACAGGATATCACCCCCTCTCAGTCTTCTGAATGATGCCATCAAATTGGATGTCTTTTCTTCTTCCTGTCACTCATATCACTGCAGTCCACATGTGTGATGGTGGGCTGTGGTACAAGCATGTCAGAAAGATTCACAGTGGAGGGAGATGGCGAAAGTGAAAAATGACACATCTTCCTGCTGTGTGTCATTCGTTCTAAAAGAGTATTTGGATGTGGAGGCTATAGCGATGTGTTTGTGAGGAAAAAAGAAGGGCTCCAGGGCTTGTTTATAATGAGTCAGATGAGAAACGCAGCCTATTCCTGGCTTTTTATTTAGCAAGCCTCTATGGAGAGTGCGTGTGTGTGTGTGTGTGTGTGTGTGTGTGTGTGTGTGTGTGTGTGTGTGTGTGTGTGTGTGTGTGTGTGTGTGTGTGTGTGTGTGTGTGTGTGTGTGTGTGTATCTGCATCTGGGTGCATATTCTGGCATCTGTGTAAGATGTCTTGAGTGAGTGGCAATTCACCTCTGAAAGTGCGCGCGAGTGTGGGAACGTGCCCGGGGCTCTTGGGGTCCACGAGTGTGAAAAGCAGCGGGTGAATGGGCCCTTGTGCACGGGGGATGAATGGACCTCCGGATGAGGGTGACACTCATCAGCTGGCTCTTATGACTAGCCACTTCCTCCAGAAGCAAGCCCTCCCACCCAACACAAAAACACACACGTAGTCATGCTCACACACACTCGCTGGCACCTGCCTAAAGAGCAGGAGAATAAGGGCGGGGGGAGGGACTAGGGCAAAGGTGAAAGAGAAAACAAAGAGGAGAGAGAAAGAAATCATAATGGACAGAAACATTAAATGGGTAATGGTGAAGTGATGCATTTTATTTCCTGTCTGTGGAGTCATCTTGGTTGTAATGACGATGCCAACACTGTCAACATAATGTGACACAGGGCACTGGAGCTAATTTGCATTTCTCTGTCTTCTTCCTTAGATTCAATATACACAAGCCAAGTCATAAAGTAGATGAGCGTTTGTATTTTTATTGCAGCAATTATTATTATGGATCCAACAGTCTGAGACCACTTTCCCATGTATTCTCAGGCTTTTGGACCCCGCTGTATGAGCCTGTGTTTTCACATCTCCAATGGAAGCGCTTGCTGGACTGGTTCATTTTACATGTTTCCAGTGGTTAAAAATAACCACCAGGGATGCTGTGTGTACATAGAGAATATTAGTCACTGTTCTCCTCAGCTAGATATCACATTACCATAATCTGCTATTGACTTGGTTTATAATAAGGACGTCACTGAATCGCTAGCTTCATGTCAAATCCCCTGCAGGCTCACGCCTATATTATCTACTCTTCTCTTTGATATCCTACATGTGTGATGAGATTTAGGCTAAGCTTTGGCTATTTTTGGTGAAAAAAAAAATTCCGTGCGGAATAGTGCACCTAGCAACAAAATGTAACATTTCAGACCAGGGAATTTAGAATCAGATTTACATTTTGCTTCACGCGTCACTAACTCACATTTGATTTTGTGTCATGGTTCAGCCATCCCGATAATAAACCTTTCATTAAGACTAATTAGTGTTCATGGAAAAGACGATTTGTGTTGTCAGTGTGATGTAGGCAGCAGTATTTCCCCGGGTCTCTGAGGGTCACTGAAAGAGGACTGGAAGACGATCTACGAGGCAGCCATGATCAATGAACTGAGCACCACGTGGAGTCCTGCCCAGCCGATCAATACGGCACAGATGAGAGGAAGGTGGCGGGGGTGGAGGTAGCTTCCCTCCGGACAGGCCTGTAGGACAGATATGAATTGCTGTCGGATGATGGGATGTATGTAGGTCTATGTTGCAGAGAGAGTGTATAGGTAGAGGTCAAGTCCGGGGGTGGTTGATCGTTGAAGGTAAATCAAATCCTGCATTGTTGGATACAAGCTATAATATCAGTGATGCCAATGGGATATTGATAAAGTGTTGAAAAAAACATTATATTTATCACTACACTTATGAGTATTGGATGTTTTTATAAAGTTACTGATACATGTGGAAGTGCAAGGTTGGGATCAGATTTTTCCTGGGAGCACAAAACTAATTCGCTCTTTGCAACAGGATGTGATGTCACAGGGAGATAATTTGTCATTGTATACATATTACTGTTGTATACAATGACAGCAACCACTAGAATTAATGACTCCTCATTAGAGAAGAAAGTTGTGTTTGCAGTAGAGATACAGTATGTGGCTGTTGTGACTTCTTTCCATTTTCAAAGTTTGTGAAATACATTGTCGAACTCTTCACTAGCAGTGGCTTCCATGGCAGTCACTGAGAAGGGAGAGTGGTTTGACTCAACGTAAAAAGATGATTCCAGGCTATTAGAATTTATTTTATTTGGTGATAACATTGTTCTCACCAAGTTAGTTGCTGATAATTGGAAACACAACACCAGGTTAACCAAACCTGTTTGAAGGAGAAAATGAGGGGAAATGGTAAAATTATTACCCAAGCTGACTTCTAGCTTCTGCATTATCCTAGTGTTGTTGCAATGAGGGACCACTCACGTGTATTCACTTTCAGTTTTACCTTAAAATAAGGTATTTTAGGTTATGGTTTGGCTTGTGACCCCTCAAAAACAAGCAATGTCTACTTGTGATCCATCATCACTGCTTCTATACGACTGTGGGTTACAGC